AATCAGAGCGTGATGTAAAATTTAAGAACTAATGTTGCATTCACTTGAATGCTTTTGAACAAAAACAGCACATCACTTTGTCGCGAAAGAATATGTTCAATTTTTTTATTTTCAAATTTAAATATTCATTTCATTTCAGATCTATGTCCTCAGTCCAGATGAGTTCCCCAACTACCATACCAGCTTATGTTATGAATTGTTTGCGAATTATCATTATTCATTTGGATTGAATGTAATTTGAATTTACTTTAAAATCAGTGGCGGTATTTTAGCCAAATAATTCCGATCGGAATTATGTGTTAGAATATCGACACAGTTTCAATCCAAAGTCTGAAAACGCTATATGCTTGCATTATCTAGTAAAATATTCAACCAATGACGAAAGCGCCACCTAACATATTCCACACTCAAACTAAATTGACAACCAGTTTTATTGAATAGTTTTGACTCACCTAAGGTTTGAGTGTGGAATATTCTAGATGGCGATTTCGTGACAGATTGAAAATAAATCAGATTGATTTTGCAGACTATTCAAATTGAAACTGTGGAAGATGTGCGAGATCTACCAATCGAGATGCGAAAGTGTCGATTTTCAGATGAACGTTCGCCCATAAATGCATCGTTTCCTTACGGATTTTCTTCATGTATAAATCAATACCAAGTTGAATTTGATCTGAAAAATTGCAATTGCACAGTACACTTTTCTCCACCTGAATGTAAAAAATTAATTTCAATTATTTTGGTGTATAAATTAATTTCATTTAATAGAAAACAAAAAATCAAAATCAAATAGATAAAAGCCGTTATTGCAATGTCACAGGCATTAGATGTACCAAAAGTTCGTATGTGCTTGCACTTCAGCGTCACAATTACATCGAGCAATGTTTTTCAACTTGCACAGAAATGATTGTTAATTTAATCAGGTATAAAAATTTAGTAAACATCCCTGGGTTAATTCCTGCTGTGTGGAACTAAACTAAAATAATAAATATTTTTGGTATTTATTCTCAATGAATTGTAAAATTCTAAAAATATTCAACATTGTTTAATTTTTAGCTATGACAGAAGGCAGAAATATCCTCCATATATACCATTTAATGAAAGTGATACAAAGAGTGGAGATGTGTCCATGACCGTAGTAATACCGAATCTGCCTACTCGATTGACTCGCCAATTATTATTCACCAGTCTTGATTTGGTTGTAACAATCGGTAGTATTATTGGTTTATTTTTCGGTGCATCATTCCTTAGCTTGGCTGAAATAATTTATATATGGATTTTGCGAAGATTTTAATTCAAATGTGTATGCTTCATACATTTTTTGCATTTTCATTCTATTTGATCATTACTTCACATTTTCACTAAATGCATATGATTTATTGAATTGTTTTACCAAATGATTTAAATATATTTTGATACATTGTACGATTGAACCAATTATTGCACACGACATGCGACATTCATATACATAAACATCAGTAGAATCCGTTTCACTATCGTATCACACAAAAATAAATAATTGCCACGTAGTGATTTGAAATGATTTAAAATATTTTCAATTTAATAATTCAAAGTGATTTAATTTAATGTGCAAAATAAAGGTACTTTACTTGAAAATTCAACTTTTTTCGTGTTCATTCATTCTATTATGAAATTAATTGACTTAGGGAAAATATTTTTCTCCAAGAGAATTGCTTTTCTGATATGTTGTTTTAAACTGAGTAGCACATGCACATTTTTTCAGTAGAACATGCAGACCATTCTATTTGATTAAATTTTTATCGACTGAAAATTATAATTTGAGAAAAAACTGGAAGCACATCAGTTTGATATTACCTTTCGTAGAAATTGGCTTAAAAAATGAATGTAATTCGACTTATATTTGGAGCAGTCCAGAAGTTTGGTCGATTTTTAAATTATTTGAACGGAACTTACTTTTTGAGGAAAGTTAGTACAAAAACAAATATTTCAGGATTTAATCATGTGACAAACAGAGCCTACACTGTACTTGAGAGTCTTTAGTAGTTTACAATATGTTTGACGTGTATTTTATGAATATTAATGATTCATTCTCTTCTAGAATTGGTTGGCTCATTTTAGTGGTGCTTTTTATCTATTTTACATTCTCAATTTGCATTGAACAATTAATGCGATTTTTAACCGATCCATTCATTTTTACTGCGCAAACAAACTATCACAGTTGGACATATCCACCACCAGAATACCATTTGTTCGGACTATACAAACGAAAGTTTCATCGAGGAATTTTATCAACATTCCAAGCGAACATTGATCGATCATGAAAATTTAACATTCAAAGACTATCGTCAATACATGAAGACTATTGGATCCTTGAATGCGGATAATGTTCATTCGATCGATAAATTCAAAAATACAAATTTGTTTCGAAATCTGAGCGGGGAAGATTTGTTGACGATTGCAATTAAAGTGTGAACATTTTCTAATTCATTTACCTATTATTAATTTTCATTCAATTTTTGAATTTATTTCTTTTCATATATCACGCAAGCTCACATTTCGTCCAAAGCATTATTATTTGTCGGAATAGCCGGAATATGTTTCTCGTGGGACCACCTCTACAAATATTTCAATGCATCACATAATAGCCTGAATTATGGCTGAATTCGGTGAATTAGGGTCCGATCTCAATTTCCCGCTTGCTAACTCCTCGGGTGTAGTACAAAATTTCGCCGGAATTGCTCATTAAAATATCGATATTTTTCAATATGAAAAATAATTGATTTTCCATATAAATCGATCTGAAATGAAGTTTGTCTCCACAGATTTATGATGGAGCGTGATAATAGCCTGAATTATGGCTGAATTCGGTGAATTAGGGTCCAACCTCAATTTCCCGCTTGCTAACTCCTCGGGTGTAGTACAAAATTTCGCCGGAATTGCTCATTAAAATAAAATGTCTTACATCCGTAAGATGAACTTTTCCGCACTGTGATCCACAACCTGCATTTATTACATATGAACGCTCTAGAATAAAAACAACGTACAGAATGGTTGTTATATCAAAGCGGAACACGGCGTTTTTTTTAAATATAGAATTGTTTTTGTATTACAACAACAAATCTATGTTAAAAAAACGTTGATATAACAACCATTCTGTACGTTGTTTTTATTCTAGAGCGTTCATATCTTTTACTTAAATTTGAACTAACATAAAAACAAAATTTAAATGAAGCACACGATGTTGAGATAAAAAAAATTATTGATGTTTTATTTGATCTCTAAGCTACGGCGCACACAATAAATATTTAATCCATCCTCCTGTCTTCTCGATCACACGGGCACATCTATTCGGCATACTTTTGCTAAAATTTTCAGCATATTCACGTTGAAAACCTTTCCTGACCTTTCCACTGGCGTTAAATGAATAAAATGAGCTGCTTCAAATTGCATTGTGTTTTACCACGAAGCCTTATTGCCTTAATAATAGCCCAAACATTTTCGATCGGATTGCAATCGGGTGACTGTGGCGGCCAGTCCATTTGTTTAATGTCATTTTCCTCCTTCCAGCGGTGCAGAGACGACTTTTGTGTTTTGGATCGTTATCTTCTAATAGAAGCCAATTCGAATTGCCGTCGCCATGGAACTTCTTGGCGGTGGGTAACAGTGTCGATGAATAAAGTTAGTTCATCCTCACGGCGTTTGGAATGCCCGTGAATACGGTCAAAACAATTAGGTGAAATATTATGCGTGCGCTATGTGCGTTGTTGCTTGTTAAATTTTAATTTTATTTATGTAATTGCGCCATTTTTTTGTTGTTGCCAAAAACACTTTTAAATAAAACATTTAAACAAAATTATATTTATAGCAAGACTATTTATTCTTTGATTGAATACAAAACATTTTATATATTTCATTGACAAAGCCGTTATTATTACTTCTTATATTCCAATGAATATAACCAAATGTTTATGAAAATCCCGTTTCCGATGGATCATAACTTGAATGCGTTATTAAGTTATTATGGTTGATTTATCTTTCTACCACTAAGGTAGCATTGACAAAAGTTTATGTCGTAAATACACTCTGAAGTGATTGGGAGAACTTGTTTTGCTATAAACCCAATTGCTTGGCGCCAAGCATTTTGCTCTTCACATAGTCTCTGACATTTACCTACATCGCAAACATCACGCTTCATTCTCTGATGATCTTCTTCACCACTAAACGAAAAGCAAATGTGAAATATTTAAAAGTATTTGTTAAAAAATGTATATGTTCACGATAAATGGGCCGAATTCAACAGACTATTAAAAATACTTACGATGGTTTGGGAGCAGCACCAACAAATTGTTGGCTCATGATTGCCAATGCAACGAAGAAGAAAATGAATGATGAAGAAAAGATTCCCTGTGAAAAATAAAAAATTAAAACGAAAGTTATCAACGGAATCAACATCAATAGATCAGTGAAAATATACAATCAATTTGAAACATTTTCATTTTTTTTTTCTTAATCTAAACACTTTGTTAAATCGTAAAACGTACCTTGAACATTTTGATTGAAGTTTTCAATTTGCTTGAAAAATAAAAAAACGATGTTTTCAACTAAGTGACTACCTCGAAACTGTATGACTTCCATTCAAAAACACCGAACTTATATACCATTTTTCAAAGATCCATAAAAATATATTGACTTAACATGCAGATGGATTTACGCGTGTTAACCATTTAGAAAACAAAATCTTAAAATATTGTTTGTTTATTTGGGCTAATTAAATTTCTAGCGTAATTTTAATATATAATTGCCTTTTAAGCTCCAAATTAGATAAGATGAACGCGAAACATCATTTGAGCCAATTCTTATCATTCGTACATAACGGCTGAAATAAAAATGTGATACAATCCACCGGATTGTTCTGGAATAACAAAAAATGTTCAAAACTTTCATACAATATAGTGTCTCAATTAAATTTGAACAA